TTCTTCCTGGATTTCTGTAGAACAAAAACGAGGGCTGGACTGGAAAAGACCCCACATTTCCCAAGCACTGATAAAGATTACAGATTTAATCTAATGATTAAGATTTTCGACCCATTAAAAATATATGTTTAACCCATAATTGAGTAAGGGGTGGTTCTTTTTTTTCTCAAAAAGTGGACCTTTTTGCAGTTATACGCCTCAGTTTCTAGTTAACTATGAGATTTAAATACTGCATTTTAGTGAATTTTATTTTATTTTTATTTATTTTATTTATTTATTTTTTGCTGGATTAGCTAGTCAAATGTCATCATAACCACACTTTTTGATGTACTAAAATATTTCCTAAAACATTGCAGTTAAAAAAATTAAACAAGACTAAATTTTAAAATATACATTTTTTTCCATCTTATATTATTAGGAAAAAATAGCAATCTGTTAAAGTTTTAAAGTAAAAAAAAAACAAAACTGTAGCCTACTTTCATTTATTAGACAAAAAAAAAACTGACTGGCCAGCACATTTAACTGTCCTCAGTCACAATTTGGCCATTTAATTTTTTTTTTTAAAAACATAATAATAATAATAATAATAATAATAATAATAATAAAGTTATAATAAATTCTTTAGAGTTTTTCTAGTATCTTTGGTAAAAAAGTACATTTGAAAATTCCTGGATATCAACAACAGCCAAAATATAGTCAAATTAGTTTAATATGGTCAGCTTCTGGTGCTTCACACCTTTTTATTGCTCATTTTTATTTCGGAAAAAAACTCCAAGATTTAGTATAAAATTAGGCTACCTCTAAGATGTTTTCTATGTTTAAAAACAATACAGTAGTGAAAGAAAACCTCTTATATCAGATTATAGTCCCACCGAAGCAACAGCCGACAGAAGAGTCCGTCTGGTCTAAAAGCCTTTATTGATAGATTATTTTCATTATTTATGATGGCATAGCAGTCAAAATAGGACAAATGTGCTCATGTATGGGACAAATGTTCTGGACCTTCGTCAGTGAGGGGTGGGCCTTCCGAACCCCCCTGGCTACAGGCCTGAAGAGTTAGAACATGTTTTATGCTTATAGTGAACATGTTTTTAATAGAATTGCCCTGTAAAAGTGCACCAGGTGTTTCAGGCGCAGCTCAGATTTTCTCCAGGTCATAATTTTATTTATTTATATTAATTTTTTCTAAAAAAATGATTATACCTGTCCAGTTTCATCTGGAATGCATCAGTGGTTTAAGCGATCGGATATCTGATCAGAATAAAACAAATAAAATTAGCAAACAGCCTCATAAACACAGACGTGACGGGATTAGCGCCTTTTGCTCTATACATATAGCCTGTGTGTGTGTGTGTGTATGTATATATATATATATATATATATATATATATATATATATATATATATATATATATATTTGTGTGTGTGTGTGTGTGTGTGTGTGTGTGTGTATATATATATATATATGTATATATTTATATGCCTAATATATAGCCTAAGACATGGGCCGGTATAAGATTCTGACAGTATGACCTTGGATAAAAAAAATATCACGGTATCACAGTATTGTGATCATTGCTCTAAAATAATTTCTTTTTCTAATATCTGAGTAAAAAACAAAAACTTGTTTCCCTTTGAACACAATATATTTTATTTTGAGAAACATTTTTAATATTTTGTAATACATGTCAGGCTAAATAATTCAAATAAATCATCGACTTCTGCTGTCTTCATTTATTTCCAAACATCTTTTTTTTTTTTTTTTTTTTTTTTACAATTTAAAACGGCATCTTTGGATATCTTTTTTGCTGGAGATACTGTTGTTCTAAAAAGAAAAGTAAATAAAAAATCGTACACATTCCTTAGAAATGGTATATTGCATAAAATTTTGCCGATTTTAACCGCGTTATGTACTACTCACAAAGAGAAATATTTATTAAAAAAATAAACAAAATATGTTTTTGTTTACGCAGTAGCACGTTCACTTTACAGCAAGAAGGTCGGTGGTTTAAGCCCCGCCCCCAGTTGGTATTTCTATGTGGAGTTTGCATGTTCTCCCTCCAAAGACATGCGGTACAGGTGAATTGAATAAGCTAAACTGGCCATAGTGTATGTGTGTGAAAGCGTGTGTATGGGTGTTCCCCAGTGTTGGGTTGCAGCTGGAAGGGCATCTGATGCGTAAAACATATGCTGGATAAATTGGCAGTTCATTCCGCTGTGCCGACCCCTGATTAATTAAGGGACTAAGCCGAAAAGAAAATGAATGAATAAAAATATATATTATTAGTGAAGTTGCTGGGAGAAGTTGTACAAAAAAAAATAAAATTATACTTTTTAACACCTTTTTATTATATATAAACAAACAAAAAGAAACAATCAAGGACATGTTTAGTCAGTTATGTTTTATTTAGAATGAAAAAAGGCTGGCAATATTGAAAAAAAGAGATAATTTTCACATTTCGCAGCTTTTGTTTAATTGAAACAATCAAATACACGTTTAGCAAGCAATTTTTTATTTAAAAATGTTTACTACAAGAACTACACATGGAATTATAGAATGTATATTTGAGTGGAACTACTATTGCTGTAACTGTACAATATTGTACCAAAAAAAGAAGAAATAAGAACCCCCACAAACAAAATATGAAAAAGAAGAAGAAGAAAAAAACAATGTACCTCTGCAATGTACACTATTGTATATACAAAACAACATCTGAACACACGCTTCTGTGGGAACAGATATCAGAATGGACAACTATAAATAGTTCTGACAAGACGATTCATTTTACAGTCTTGCTTCAACTGGACAGGAATTACATTTTAATACAGTTATGATTACAAAGAAAATAGAAAGAAAGAAAGAAAATCACCCTCACTCAATGTGTTCACAAACATACAATGCAGATTCAAGTGTATAATGATTGATTTCAGTTTACTCAAGGAAACATCATGTGTGTAAACGTAGGCCTCGGCCGACAGCATACTATTAACATTTACACATTAAACACGACCTGCTGTCATTTGCATGTAAAAGTCCTGCTCACGAAAACTCCAATAAGACAGCTTCCAGTTGCCTTTATGAGGTATCAGGAACAACACACACACACACACGCACACAATACTTCCGATCATTTACATGTGAACAAATGTAACCACCTGTGACACGACGACACATTCAGAAAAGAACACAATAGGAAAACAAGGAACGTTACTTGGAGAAAAACAAAACAATGCCTCAGTCATAAAGATCTTAGTCTATCTACAGATATTTTCCATAAGTCGCAGTTAGCTGTTGTCTACGTTCACAAACTTGTTTTCATGCATAATAAGGCCTCGCTTTGGGAAAATACACACTTGTCTGATCCGTTCTGTCGAAGGCAATAAAATCACGCAGACCCTGTGAGGGGCATTTAGCTCTTTGGACAGGCATCTTATAAAGATTGTCAGACGTTAAAGGAAGAGTTCCACCAAAAATGAAAGGAAATGATGTTTAATTTACTCACCCTCAGACTGTACACTAACCAGACTTTCAGTTGTGTATGTGGCCTTGGTCGTACATATTAAAAAGCTAATAGTACTTTGAGAGTCAAAAACAAAACAAACATACATACAGGCAACACAAAATTAAAACGTAAGTATGATACGCTGATGTTTTATAAACTGGAACGATCAGTCTGTGGATCAAAACTAAGAATATATCTAGTCTTCATATTCAGATCAATTGTTTTGCGATGGAATCTCAACGTACTGTCAGGAGTCATGCTAAAAAATTTGTGTTTCCTGTATGTTTATTTATTTTTTATTTTGTGACTTTCAAACTTAATACATAAAGACACACTGATGTTTTATAATCCAAAACAATCAGTCTGTGAGGATCAGTGATAATAATGTATATCAGGGATGCTTAGCCCTGTTCCTGGAGATCTAGCTTCCTACAGAGTTCAGCTCCAACCCTGATCAAACACACCTGAACCAATTAATTAGGACCTGAACTGCACTAGATAATTAAAGACAGGTGTGTTTGATAAGGGTTGCAACTGAAATCTGCAGGAAGGTAGATCAGAGAATTTTGACGTTCAAAATAATATTAAAAAATACATAAAAACAAATGGAGGCAACACAAACCTAATACATGACGATACACTGATATTTTAAAATCCAAAACAATCAGTCTGTGAGGATCATTGGTATCAACAATATACTTAATATTCAGATTCATACACAGATCAATTGTTTTGCTTCAGAAAATCACAATGTACATCATGTGGAGTAAGTTTGTGTTGCCTCTATGTTATTTTTTACTTTTAAAAATAATAATAATAATAAATAAAATAAAACAAATGGAGGCAACACAAACTTAATACATGACGATACACTGATGTTTTAAATTCCAAAACAATCAGTCTGTGAGGATCATTGGTATCAGTAATGTAAATAATATTCAGATTCATACACAGGTCGATTGTTTTGCTTCATTAAATCACAGCGTATGTCATGTGGAGTAATTTTGTGTTGCCTTTATGTTTTTGGCTTCCAAAATAAAAGTAAAAAATAAAAACAAATGGAGGCAACACAACTCAATACATGATGATAGACTGATATTTTATAATCCAAAACAATCAGCCTGTGGGGATTAATGATAATAATGTACTTAATATTCTAATTCATACACAGATTGATTGTTTTGCTTCTTTAAATCACAGCGTTTGTCATGTGGAGTAAGTTTGTGTTGCCTTTATGATGTTTTTTAGACACTCAAAGTATAATTAAAGACCACAATTTGAGCTAAATATCGTTTCTAATGTTCACTAAAGAAATAAAGTGACCTACATCTACATCACACAGTCAAATATCTTTTTAGGATGAGTCAACTAACCACAAATCTTCCTTTTTGGGCGCACTATCTCTTTAAGGAGGCTTTTTGCACACTTATTCTTTCAGAAAAACAAACAGAAGAAAGCGAGCTTCATTTTTGCATGTGTCCCCTTTTAGTTTTTCCCTTTTTTTTGCATTGTAAATCTGATCAAATAAAATAAAGAAACTGCTGTCAGGCTGCTACGAAGAGTCATTATATACATACTGTACGTAAACACACATACTAATACATAGATACCATGAAATAGACCCAGAGGCGAGTAATGACCTAGGGAGAATTATTTTTCTTGTTATTTTTTCTTTTTTTTTTACACACGGGCCATGAAGAAATAATGTGCTTTCTTGACATTCCTCATTTTTAGATACTTGTTTCCAGTTATAATCACGATTATTAGACTTATACAAAACAACACCCTTTTTTTATGTGCCCGATGATATTATAATAGTAGAATAAAATGACATCTCAGACTGTTAATGAATTCAGAAGTGCTTTGGAGCAATTACGGAATATCGATGATAAATCCAATGGTTTGGGAAGTCGCGTTCATCATGCAAAAAATCTTGTGGATCTTCATGCAAACGTGTTTATTTGTCACGTTTATGGTTTGGTTGGCTAAAAAGAGTGCCAGTGTAGGTTATAAGGTGAATTATGAAGTATAACTAGTGATTATTGGATTTGTAGAATCTGACGGATTGGATCGACTCAGAAATGTCATTGCATTTGAGTGGCGGATTTATATCAGGAGGAAAAAAAAATGTGTTTCCATTCAACCTGCTTCAATTTGCACTAAAGTCTGAGGTGAAAATGTCTCCTCGAATAGTTCTTTGACCTCAAAAAAAGTCTTTTCCCATTAAAACGAGTCTGTACAGACAGAAAAGAACTCCAAAGCTCTAAACTGGGATTAGAAAAGAAGATCCGGCTGATGTCCGAGTCTCAGTCCAAACTAACAACTGCTGAAAAATCATCCTGTGTGTATTAAACACTTACTCGCTCACTCAAATCTAAACTATCCTGTTGTTTTTTTGCTGGGAAACCCTCAGACGGGGCAGGATTTGTCGGTGGGTGGTGGTGGAGGTGGTGGTGTTGGTGGGATGGTGGTGGTTGGAGATCCCATAGCCGGACTTCCTCCGGCTGAACTGCTTTTGGGGAACACCACAGGCTTGGGTCTGGTGGCTGGAGGTTTGTTATCTCTGAATGTGGAGCCAGAAGCGGTGGTCATGGAGGACAGAGGGCTCTTGGGGCCTGTGGTTTTGCTGGGTCGGAAAGTGGAGGGCATGTCGCTGGCTGAACTGGCGCTGCGCTGCAGAGGATGCTGAGAGGATTCAGCTTCGCGGAGCAGGCGGGAATGGAGAGGGCTGGATGGTTCAGATGTCCCGCCACTTTTGAGCTGCTCCAGTGTGTCGAGAACCACGTCTGGAGCATGTTTGACGTTGCTCTGCCTCTCAAGCTCTCGCAGCTCACTCAGAGCCGTGTTCATAGTGGCCTCGATGTCCTGCAGAAAGAAAACAAATAAAATACAATGTAAATATCTTTACCTAAAACCAACTACTACCTTGCTATTAATAATCAGCCAATTAGCCGTTTATTGAGCTAAAAGACTTAGTTAATAGTTTGTTAATAGCATGAATTGTAAACTAAAATTAAAATGAAGTGTGACTGACAATGTTTATTAGATTGAATTGTTTCTCATAAAGTTTTGTAATGAAAAGCATAAAAAAATTCCATTACACTTATATTCTTATTTATTCAGATTTTTTTGGTTTTACATTTATGTAAAAAATAATCAGAACCAAGAAAGTTTTGATAGTATTCTTATTTTCTTTTTGCTTATTTATTGTTTTTATCTAAAGATTATTTGTAAGACAGCAGAAGAAAATATGTCTGTACTCTCATACATACAGTATAGTCAAAATTAAATTATCTTAAAGGACGTTTATATACTGCATGTTGTTTGCAATATTATTGTATATATTCATTAGTTTATAATCTGGCATTTTAAAGAAAAAAAGCACCATATATTTGTAGTTTTAACCTATATAAATATTTGAATATAACTAAATTCCATAACCTACTTATTAATATAATATAATATAATATAATATAATATAATATAATATAATATAATATAATATAATATAATATAATATAATATAATAATAAATTAATAATTTTAATAATTTAATAATTTAATAAATGTTTTAATTTGTAATAATCTAAGACACATACAATATTAAATGCTTGAATTATATGTAATTAACTGTGTGTGTGTGTGTGTGTGTGTGTGTGTGTGTGTGTGTGTGTGTGTGTGTGTGTGTGTGTGTGTGTGTATATATATATATATATAAGTGTATCTTTGTTGTTGTTGTTTTTTTCAAACTACGAAAGCCACAGTAAAAGGAGTAAAAAGTTCACTTCACTTCTTTTTAAAAAGACACCATCTATTGCTAAATGTTTTCGCTAAGGTCAGACCTTGTAGGCTTTCAACAACAAATCTATAAGATGTCCACATGTCTACAATGACTAAACCACAGAAACTCACACTCAATTTCCAGCAGCCGGGATAGATGGAGCAGCTCTGTCCAACCGTGAAATTACAGCTCAAAGAAAGACAAATACTGTAGAACTCTCTAAAACACACAAGCTCCTCTGGAGACCTCAGCACTTTTTCAGAGAGGAAAGCAGGCTCTCAAGTTGACCTGTGTGTCTACAGTATTTATTAGGGGCCTAAGCACAAGCTGTGTTCCTAGAAACACAAAATTTGGCAGGATGGTTCCAAATTTCCAATATTATCTAAATGCAGACTTGGATTTGCAAGCTGAGACTGACACTTAATGTAGCTAGTGATGTCACTGTAAGGGGTAGGATTAGGGGTGATCATTACAAGCATTACATGCAGCTATGTTTACAACTGCACCGAGTCTGGAGTTTTGGCTCATACCATTTTGAGAAATTTTACATTTGCTCAACCATTTTGAACTGTTTTATAAAATTTTTTCCAACCACCTCCAACTCACACCTGCTTGAAGCTGCAGTCACATTAGAGTTTGAGCGTGCGATATTCTGTCGTGCAGCGCTGCAAAAAGGGGCAGGGTTAAACAAGCTTATTAGACATTTAAAAAAGCAAGTGATTGCTCCATGTTTTAAATTTCTGTCCAGAGATGTCATGTTTTGATCCTTGATTGGTCTCACGCAGTCAAGTGATGCGATTTCGCAGGTTAGAGTTCACCAAACTTGAACTTTGCACCGCAGAAACCTGCGAAACTTGACGCATGACCTTGCGTTTCCGGTCTGAGGCTTTCACGTGCGTATGAATGGAAGTGTATAAGTCCAGTGTGACCACAGCTTTATAGTCTCTAGTAGACCTTGATTAGTTGGATCAGCTGAGTTTGATTAGGGTTGGAGCAAAACTGTGCAGAGTTGCAATTCTCAAGGAATCCAGCTTAAGACCTATGATATAGAGCAGGGGTGTTCAAACTCAGTCCTGGAGGGCCGGTGTCCTGCATAATTTAGTTCCAACCCCAACCTGAACCAGCTAATCAACCTTATTCTAGGTGTGCTAGAAACTTCCAGGGAGGTGTGTTGAAGGAAGTTGGAGCTAAACTATGCAGGACACCGGCCCTCCAGGACCGAGTTTGGACACCCGTGATGTAGAGAATTTACAAAAGGTTTTTACAAGAATTTGGATTTAATAAATGGTTTAGAAGATATGGTTTAATGGAGCCATGGGAAGGTTTGACTTATGAAATTTTCTTCTGATAAATTTAAACTAATGAACTGTCATAGCTGAACATGGAAAATGGCGTATATCAGTCAAAAGAGGATATCAAAAAAGGTCCACCCAAAATGGCCACCAAACTACAACCTGTTGTACCAAGGTTGTCAGCCAGAGGGAGACACACGGTCAATTCTTTCACATTGTTTTTATGTTTAAATGGTTCAAGAGATTTACGATTTAATAGGTGATTGTCTTCAGAAGCAATATTAGTTATGCAGGTTAACATCCTAATAGCAATTTCAGTTTACAAAAAATCTCCAAAACATTTTTGTATTCATTAAATATTGTCAATTAAGAAAACTTTTGTTAAGTTGTTAAGCATGACTTAATATTTCAGTTCAAATGAAGAAACAACAATTGTTATATATTTTAAATAATAGAAGTACGCTTCCATAGCATGGATCGACCCTAAAATACTCATTACAAGTATAAAAATGTGTATATTTCCATATATTTGCATATATTAACTACCACACAAATTGTTTTCTGGCAGGTCTTGATATCATTCTGATAAGTTGTTACTTAAGACTTGATCACGATGCTGTAACATAATTATAAATTCAGTTTGGACAGTGATATCGGTGATTATTTAGGGGGTGGGGGTAGGGGGGGGGTTAATAACACTTAAATTGGTTTAATGACATGAATGCCAATATGTTTGCCATTCAATTTACATCAAAACAAAACCATGTCAAGATTCTGACATCAGTTTGATTTACATACTTTATCAACTGAGATGTAAGTTTGATGTCATCATTTGCCTAATGGGTTGTGATTGGACAACAGTGATGTCTGCTTGAGCCAGAAAGTTTAGATGAAAGCTGACAGGGTTTGAATGCTGCTTGTTTCTAATAATATTTCTGAAGTGTCCCGTACCTGTGAGCTGTGCTCCACCTGCGCGATCACCTCTGGGTCGAGGGGTCTGTGGTTGCTGAAGCTCTTGGATCGTCCAGTAGGTGTGGATTTGCGAACTTGAGGACCCTCTACTTTAGTCTTGAGAGACGAGTGTCTGGTGATGGAGTTCAGGACGCTGTGAGCGCTGACAGGACGCTTGTCTGAGCTGTCCTTGGCCAGTCCTCCAGCAGGCATAGAGGAGGTCTTTAAGCCCCCTGCTGCTCCTGATGAGCCCTCCTCCACAGGCCGGATGGTTCTCCGGATGCTCGTCGCTTCTGGACGCTTCCTCAACCTGAGATAAATATGTGTAAGTACAAACTCTCACATACACTCTTTTATTTGTCTTTGAACGGTTCGGTTCATAAACAATTGGACATCGACACAATTCTAACATTTTTGGCTCTATACACCAACACAATAGATTTAAAATAAAACAAACAACATGTACTTTAACTGCAGACTATCAGCTTTAATTTGAAGGTACTTACATCCAAATCAGGTGAACGCTGTAGGAATTACAACAGTTTGCATATGTTCCTCCCACTTGTTAAGGGTCCAAAAGTAAATGGACAATTGGCTTCAAAGCCGTTCCATGGACAGTTGTGTTATTTCCTCATTATCCCAATTACAATTAGCAGAAAAAAATGTCCAGAGTTCATTTCAAGTGTGCTATTTGCATTAGGAATTTGTTACTGTCAACTCTCAAGATGAGATCCAAAGAGCTGTTACTATCAGTCAAGCAAGCCGTCATTAGGCTGAAAAAACAAAACAAATCCATCAGAGAGATAGCAAAAACATCAGGCATGGCCAAAACAACTATTTGGAACATTCTTAAAGAGAAAGAACACACCAGTGAGTTCATCAACACCAAACGACCCGGAAGACCTCAGAAAGAATTGTGGTGGATGACCAAAGAATTGTTTCCCTGGTAAGGAAAACACCCTTCACAACAGCTGGGAAGATCAAGAACACTCTCCAGGAGGTAGGTGTATGTGTGTCAAAGTCAACAATCAAGAGAAGACAACACCAGAGTGAATACAGAGGGTCCGCCACAAGATGTAAACCATTGGGGGGCCTCAAAAACAGGACGGCCAGATTAGAGTTATAAAAAAGCCTTTACAGTGCTGGAACAACATCCTATGGACAGATGAGATCAAGATCAACTTGTATCAGAGTGAGGGGAAGAGAACAGTATGTAGAAGGAAAGGAACTGCTCATGATCCTAAGCAGTGAAGCATGGTGGTGGTAGTGACATAGTTTGGGCATGCATGGCTGTCAGTGGAACTGGTTCTCTTGTATTTATTGATGATGTGACTGCTGACAAAAACAGCAGGATGAATTCTGAAGTGTTTCAGGCAAGATTTTCTGCTCATATTAAGCCAAATGCTTAAGAACTCATTGGCCAGTGCTTCACAGTGCAGATGGAGAAAGACCCAAAACATACTGCAAAAGCAACCAAATAGTTTTTGAAGGGAAACAAGTGGAATGTTATGCAATGGCCAAGTCAATCACCTGACCTGAATATGATTGAGCATGCATTTCACTTGCTTTAGGCAAAACTGAAGGGAAAATGCCCCAAGAACAAGCAGGAGCTGAAGACAGTTGCTGTAGAGGCCTGGCAGAGCACCACCAGGAATGAAACACAGTGTCTGGTGATGTCTTTGCATTCAAGACTTCAGGCTGCAATTGACTGCAAAGGATTTGCAAAGGATTTTTCCAAGTATTAAAAAGTGAATGTTGATTTATGATTATTATTCTGTCCAATTACTTTTGGATCCTTAAAAAGTGGGAGGCACATATGCAAACTGTTGTAATTGCTACAGCGTTCACCTGATTTGGATGTAAATACGCTCAAATTAAAGGCAACAATCTGCAGTTAAAGCACATCTAGTTTAATTTCAAATCCATTGTGTTGGTGTATAGAGCCAAAAATGATAGAATTGTGTTGATGTGCAATTATTTATGGACATAACTGAATATATAAAATATTTTGTTAAGTAGACTTTATATACATGAATTCAAATAAAAATGTTATAAATTTTGTTGTTTTTATTATATTTAAAAAATTATTAATAAATAACAGTAAATTATTAATGTGTAGTAATAATTCACAAGTATAAAAATATAAAGATTCACTTGATCCATCTATATCTGTCTTTATAATTAAAAAGTCATAGCTTCAATTAATTGTGTATATTTGTATGTGTAAAAATGTGAGAACGTACTTGTTGAGGTTGGCTAGATAGATATCAGCCACATGACCTCCAGTGGGTGAGCTGGCACTGGCTCTCGTGGAAACCTTCTCTTCCACTGAATCATGGGATCCTTCGAGGTCAGCTTTAGGACTTCCTCTGCCTGCATATCCATCCGGCCTAAAAAAAAAACATAGATCTATACAATCCACAAATACAACAGGCAGACTCATAATAGATACACTTTAAACACAGTGCCATAGACTAATATTGACAACTCTTGATAAAATTAGAGCATAAAGGCTGTGAAAGTTTAAACTCTTGACATTCTGTTCAAAATACTAACCAAATAAACTAAAGATGCTTGAGTTTGGTTTTAAACAAGAGTAAAGTCTTTTTTCATTAAACCTTTCAATCAGTTTGTGGTGTCAGATTGTAGTTTTGGAGACTTTCTCTGACACGAGAGCTGTTCTGCAATTATCCAGATTTTCAGGATCATGTCACTGCACTAGAACAAGATACATGACAAATTTCCTTCTCCAGTTAGTCAGAATATCTTAACCATTGCAGCATTTTCAATGTTCATTTTCATATGTAACATGTCAATAGGAATTATGGGAAATAGTTAGCTAATTTGAATCTATAGGTGTAAGTGCTGTTATCAAGCATTTTTGCATAATCGCATATTTGTTTCATATTATATTCTTCAGTGATTTAAGGTCCTACTATTTTGTATTCATTTAGCTGAAGTGTATTTAAAAATGTAAATATGTTGAACGTTTGAAATGTGTTATTATTTCATATGTTGTAGTTTAAGACATTTATTATGGAAACATGTCACTTTGAGGAAATGACGTGTAATGTGAGTGGCTTGTTTATGGATGCCCGGATAGACTGACGATGATCAGACGCATGTCAGTGCTGTGTAAAGTAAGATGTGTTTAAGAAGCTTAAGGTTGCTGCTGTCATAAGTCAAAAGGACAGCGAAGAAGACTTTATTAATCAAAGGACCCTCTTTTCATGAAAAACGACCAACGAGGTATTTGTTTGCTTATGTAATGTATTAGATAATCGTGGTTTGTGTAATTTCTTATTCGTTTGTACTGTGTTCATTTACTAATACAGTTCTCACGGCGTCATGGCGTCAAGGCGTCATGGCGACAGCCGCAAAGCACATTATGGACGACCTTAAATAAACCCCTGTTCTGGAGAAACAACCTGTGACTGTGTTGTTGTGAAGAGAGTTACAATAGAGGTGCCAATAATTATAACATATAATTAAGAAATATATGTATTTATGTGATAAAACTGTGCTGTTTGCAAATGTTTGTCCTCATTGAGAACATTTTATATACACTTATTAGCTAGATCAAAATTAATTCATTCATTAATTTTCTTTTCAGCTTAGTCCATTTATTAAACTGGTGTCGTCACAGCGGAATGAACAGCCTGTATCAAAATTTACAAATAAAATAAATAAATTAATACATTTTTTTTCACAGAATTCTTTGCTCATATTCACCAAGGATCCCAAAATTATAGGAGAGCACGGTAAGTTACTACTTGTAACTTTCTAATACTAAGTTTCTAATGCATTACTGAAAAGCCCATTTTTAGCATACAGTCAAACCAAAAATAATTCACCATCATAGAAACCTTCAAGAAAAAAAAGCACACTCATCCAAAAACAATTCACACAACAAAAACAAAAACAAGTGTTACTGTGACAATATTTACACAACTACTATATCAACACTTTGTTGGGTAACCCTGAGCCTCAACAGCTATGTTTCCATTAAAAGATTTGATTTAAACATGTGAAAAACATTAATATTGCATAAAACATTTGCAAATAAAGCCTCCAATGGGGTAAAGAAAACAAAATTGTCATTTAACATTTAAAAAAAACTGCTGCAAAATATCAGAAAGGAAAATGGTATTTGCTGTGTACAGGAAAAGCAACTGTAGGCCTTGTTCCTTATTTAATAAATGACTTGCACCTCAGAAGACAAAGAAGTAATAAACACAGTCATATCTGGCTTTTGAAAGCATGAGATTGCTCTTTGGGAACGCAGACACTCAAGATTGGGACAAATGGTCTTCGTTTTTTTGAAAACGTTTGTCCACCAGAATGTAACTGTAAATTTCTGTCATTTTTACTATATCATGATCTGCCAAAAGAAAATCACATTACTTTTTTTTAAATCTGCTTCCTGGCTTTATTCAATAAATTTTTATGTGCATTTTCAATCAAATAGTTCATCTGAGCATTTCCATTATGCACTTATTAAAGTAAAAGTCCAAATGCACATAGAAGAAGGTGCATGGAAAATAGCTATTGACAGCCAGTAGTATCTGCTGTATACCAAACTGCTGCAATCCTGAATTTCAATATTTTCCAAAACACTCTTGGCTTTAAGTGACAGTTCATTTTATTTTGTTATCCTTACAGTGTCATTTAAATTTAATCATTTAGGAAATACTTCTATCCAATGTGAATGAGTGTCCTGCAGTAAAAAAAGCAAACCATATAAACTAAATAAACCAGCCACTTTATTAGGTACACCTAAGTTAATGCAAACTTCTAATCAGCCAATCACATAGCAACAACTCAATGCATTTAAGCATGTCGACATGTTCAAGATGATCTGCTGCAGTTCTATTAGTACCAACTGAGCACCGTGTCAATGCCACAGCCAACCTGAGTATTGTTGCTGACCATGTCCATCCCTTTATGACCACAGTGTACCCATCTTCTGATGGCTACTTCCAGCAGAATAATGCGCCATGTTATAAAGCACGAATCATCTCAGACTGCTTTCTTGAACATGACAATGAGTTCACTGTATTAAAATGGCCTCCAGTCAACAGATCTCAATCTAATAGAGTACCTTTGACATGTGGTGGAATGGTTGATTCGCATCATAGATGTGCAGCCGACAAATCTGACGCAACTGTGTGATGCCATCATGTCAATATGGACCAAAATTTCTGAGGAATATTTCCAGTACATTGCTGAATCTATGCCACAAAGGGTTAAGGCAGTTCTGAAGATAAATGGGGTCCAACCTGGTACTAGTAAGATGTACCTAATAAAGTGGCCGGTGAGTTTATATGTTTATATAAGTTTATATATACTGACCATAATGATAAATCAAATACATAAACTTCTTACATGTCCTGCACTACTATGTACTGGTGCGGCACGAGACCCTCAGTGCCGTTGTGTCGTCCCTCCCACCAGTCATCAGATGCGCGGCTGTACAGCAGCAGAGACGCCCCCTTTTTGAAGCTCAGCTCGCGGTTGGTGCGTCCAGAGTAATCGAAGCGAGCGATGGCCTCGATGGGGTCCGACTCTGAAACGGTCAATGGCCCTGACTTTACTACTCAGAGACACAGAAAACAAAGAGACAGAGAGAAAGAGCGAGAGGGAAAGAGGGAAGGAAGGGTTATTGCGGAAGAAGCCAGGCAGGTTAGAGCACATTCATCAGATGCAGAAAGGGTACGTGGTGGACGCATGAGGACAGTGAGTGTGTGTGTGTGTTAGTATTGTCTCATGACTGGTGTCTGGACTCACCGTCATCACTGTTGTGGATTACAGAGACCGTGTCAGGAGCAGGTTCGTCCACTAGAGGGGGCTCAATGTGTGGACTATCACTGATGGATTGACAGAAACAAATATACATCAATGGAAACCTTCATTACAGTCTGACAATAGATGCCATTAACACAAATTCAATATATTGCATTAGTATAGAAGCCAGCATGCACATGTAATACACACTTGCACATACTGTTCAAAAGTGTGTGTTTTATTTCAAATGTTTGTTTTTTTTTTACATGTTTTTACATGGTTTAGTTGAATAAAAATACTAAACAACAGTAAATAGTTTGTAAAAACAGTAATGTTGTGAAATATTAGAACAACTTTAAACAGCTGCTTTCTGTCTTTTTATATATTTACCTGTGAATACATGGCTGAGCAACTCAAAAGTGTCAAATGATGGTTCAGAATGTTTTTATATTACTCTAATATACTGATTTGATGCCTAAGGAACAATTCTTATTATTGCTGTGAACCAAATATTCAAAGTATATACAGATATTTGTTTATTAAATATAATAATATCATAATAAAAATATAATATGCAAATAATAATATGCTTTATATATCATACAACAGTTCTGTCTTGTTCTCGAATCTAATTGGCTGATAGCCGGGCAATACTCTGAAATATCAGCATTCGTACAGCCTCTTCACCCTTCTGTATTACTCCGCCCACATAGAGTGACACCAGATCAATAAACTCACTACAGTTTGACAAATATTGCAGCTGTTGGACAACATAATGTACTTTTGAGGCTTTTTCAAGTGAGAATAAAGTTGTTTAGATTTCAACTATGCAGTTCATTTATAAGGATAGTGCCTATTTTAAATATTTATAATTTTGGAGTTACAGCATGTCGGCATCCATCCACCTGTCATATTTAGCAAAGCAAAGATGGTTGACATTGTCCATCCACAAGATGGCGACAGAGACCGTATAATAAGCGCTTAGAGGCGAAAAATTCAGTGGATTTACAGCTGGTCAAATCATTATTAAAATGCTAAGTCAATCTCTCTGTTTTGTTTGTTGTAGTGCTGTATTCATACCATAGTAATTGTAGTGTATTGACTTTGAAATGGGACTCACATATGAGGAATGTATATATTTTGTGTTGGCCACTTAATGTATAACCCTGAGTTACTTTTTGGTTGGCCATCTGTTTGTTTCTAACGAGTCTCCTGTTTTCGTAACTGCAGACTAGTTCAGTAAATAGAAAGAAACAAGAAATTCTGAATTTCGGGGTTAATTATTGTGATCTCCCAATTGCAACAGAAATACCGGGAAATGTCAGCCTTATAATCTTAAAATGTCAGCAAAATCCCCTTTTCATGATCAATTTAGACAGAATGCTAGAAAATCATTCAAATACTCGCTCTAAAGTGACGTTGGTGAAGTAGCAACCACTGTTCTGACGTCAGCTACAGATTTGAATGAATGGCGGAAGAGAGTAGTTCCAGACTTTTAGATTTTTAGAGTCTCTAGATTTTCTTTCTTATATACATAAACACGCAGTCAAACTGTTGTATAAGCACAATATTACATGATTAGCAGTGCGATATGGCTGTATATCGTCACTGGTGAGACACTGAGGACACACAACACATGCCTCCTACCAGTGCTGATATACAGCCATATCGCACTTCTACATGTGTGATATTGTTCATTTATATTACATACTTATTTGCATCCTTGGTCATGTCAAAGTTTGATGTCTTTATTATTCTTCTAAAAAAAAGAAAACCTAATAATCAAGCATGAGAATAATCTTGCATTTCCTCTGAAAAAAGAAAAGGAGTCCAAAGTTTATTTCCAATAAAGCAATGGAGAAAAAAAATCACATTTCTGAGTACAGCTTTAAGCCTCTTCTGTTTCTCTTCTGGCCAAACTGTGTTTAAGCTTCTTTGAAGTAAAACAGGAAGCAGAACACAGATATGAGGATCAAAGCTGGACCTTCCTGTGGCCTCTTGACTGCAGTGTGAACCTGCCCTCACTCAACTGCAGCGGGGGAATCTGATGAAACCAGAACACACTCCTCCAACACACAGGAAAATGGCTCATTTCCAAGGTCAAGAAGGCCTTATTGCTGATAACAGCTTTGTTACGCCATTCACAGGCCAAGACAACCTCAAATGCTGTAGTAAAAAAGGGATATTTCACCCAAAGATGAACAAGTAATCACTATTTACTCACCCTCAAGTTGTTGTCAACCTTTTTTTTTAGAACACAAAAAGTTATTTTGAAGAATGTTGCGAGCCAATGATTTCAATTCAGCTCCAGCAATTTTCTAAATATCCTCTGTGTTCAACATAAGAAAGAAACTCAAACAGGTTTGGAACAACCAATGGGTGAGTACATGCTGACAGAATTGTCCTCTTATGTGAACTAATCCATTATTTTTTTTATGTAAACCTAACCTAACAACCTGATCTCTCATCACTGTGATCTCAAGTACAAACACGGCCTAATTTTACTGTCACCACTGCACCAATAAAAGCTGATCTCTCATAACACGTTTGGAGGAAATTCAACCTCTACACAGGACTCCAGCAGCTGCAATGTATCTCACTACCACCATTATTACATAAACCGCTGGCAAGCATGAAGCCAGGGCTAATGAAAAGCTTATAGTTTCATTAGAGAGCAGCTCCAGACAGGAGGAAGTTATGGGTGATGTCTGAGTGAAGTGTGTAGGGAAACACTGTCAGGCAGGTTTGGCACGTCCATCAGTGTGTCTTTAAAATGACAGATTGGTCTGCCAGAGTGGTTGGATGGTAAAGAGGGTCCAGTGATTCCTCCTGTTGGTCCGTCTGAAAGTGTGTGTGGAGCTTTGATCAAGGCTCTTGAGGTAAAATGATCCATGTGGCTTCTTCACCCTTGAGCAGATGAGTTTGTGCTGTTCAGTGAAGTCAGAAGCTGAGCTCACTCATTATGTTTTGCCCAGAGACTCTGGATGGCTCTGATTTAAAGGGTCACGAAACACCAAAACACATTTTTTGAGCTGTTGACAGTCGTATATGTGTCCCACACTGCTAAAAACACTATTAGGACACCTATATTTCACTAAAAAGTGTAAATTGGTTGTTTTTGCGTTATTTCAAGTAAATTCGTACTTACGGTTTGAAACAAATTTTTGAAGCTGCGTCACGGTCGTGACATAATAGCGTGTATTCCAGCGTGCAGACTGGACGCCTGAGCCAGAGTGTGTCTTATTACGTCTTACAGTGAGATGCATTAATGCATGAGTAAAGCTTGGTTCAAACCAATCAGCGCGCTCTATTGTGCAACTTCATTAATATTCATTATTGTCACCGTGTTTACACGACAGAGACGCCACGTTGTGTTGGCAAAACAAGCGTGAAGTGTTGCTTTTATTGTTTGCTGCCATTAAGTTTTGTTTTCATTTTCTCTCTGTGAGAGCTCAGCTGGCGTCACGTGTGGATTAACAGTGTACGCGACGCTAGACAACAATAACTTACGTGTCTAAGGAGGATTATTGTTTACCTGAGAGCTGTTCTCATCTGCAAACGCTGAGATCCGGATTCGCTTGTAGTCTCCTCTTAATAAAGACGCAGCTCTAGTTGCTGGTGATTGTCCTGTCTCTACAGATTTGGTAAGTGAGCGACCAGTGCTCTTTGTTTATTCAGTTTGTTCATATCGAAAAAAGTTAACTATTGCACGAGTACAAACATGTTAGCACCACAACCAAACTTTAACCTCTTGTAGGGTTTTTACCGCATTTTGTGACCGGAATAACACACGCGGCTTTCTGACACTACCTGCCGTGTGCATCTAAGTTTCCGGGAAATGTGGAGGTTTTTTTTCTCTCATTTGCCGTGCGGTATCAAACATTGCGTGAAAAATACACGCTTAGAGCAGATCCTCGAATCAAATATCTCGTTTGTCGCGAGGGGCATGAATAAATTCCCTGAATGAAAGAGCCAAACTGCTGTTAAAGTCCAACATTTAATAATTTGGCAAATAATTCGACTACAGATGTTGATGTAGGTTAAACACCATCACTTTTTCCTGTGTGTTTATTTTGACTCTGAAACTCGCGCGTGCCCAAATAGACACTCCCACACCCTCCCACTTTAGTTCCTCTGACACTCCCCCCTAAACAGAGCTGGACAGGCCCACTTTTTTTACTTTTTCCAAAGTAGAGGTGTGAAAACACCTGCTGAAACGAGGGGGTTTCATGGACCTTTAAGCAACATGTCTTCTACACTCATTTGACAACTTTTATACACAATCTTACTGTACAAAAGTGAACTTTACTTAAAAACATAGGTGACGTTACATGGTATAATCATGCTGTTATCTTTCACTAAGTATTGTGTTTTTCACAATTTAAAGGGTTTATATTTATTTTTAATTATAATTAATTATAAAATATTAATTTTAATTAATATTAATTATAAAGGGTTTATATTTATTTACTCCTAGCATGTAATACTAGTCATTTGCTAGCCACAACTAAAAGTCCTTCAAATGCTGAAATGACATTATTTTTTTCTGAATAAAAAAGAGAGAAAAGTTTATATCAGGGTTTCTGCAGATTTCACAAAGTGAAATTTAAGACTTTTAAAGACCTTTTTAAAAACATTATAATAAAATTTCAGACTTATACAGGGCTGAACACGACCAACCTGGTTGGTCATGTGGAAAAGAGGTTTGCTTGCCTCATCCAAAAAAATTAAAATCTAATTACTTATTTTTTTGCCTTATATCTTAAATAATGTGTCAAAACAAGCAAACCCTAGTTGTATATACACACTTTTTAAACAACTTTTCTTTAAAAAAATAGTATATAGAGTTTTGATGAAGGTTTTTTAAAATGTATTGTTGGTAATTGGAAACACTGACAGATGAAAAGTAAGACTTGTTCAAAATGATTTAAGACCTACAAGACAATATTTCAGTGAATTCAGTGAACACTTTTTAAAGGCTAAAATTTAGTTTTTGAAATGTAAGACATTTTATATATATATATATATATATATATATATATATATATATATATATATAGTAATAGGGGAAATCCGCAAAGTAGTCAGCTTTATTTTTACAACTATTATAGCTGTCTTAAGGCTGTAAAACCCGTCAATACACACTTTATACACTTTTCTCAGACATGCATTAACACTTTTACACTTTTCTCTCATTTAAACACTCTCAAAGTTCAAACCTTTGTAGAAAAATAAGTCCAGTATTATAGAATGAGTCTAAAAATCAAAACTATTTGATCTTCATTTATTTATTCCGTAATGGTGCCATAATCCTGCACAACTTCTACCTTCCTTCAGCATGTCCAGAAGTTCATAGCTTTTGTGCGATGGTTAGCATCTTTCTCTGCCTTTTGGGAGCAGATTTTTCCGTCGACATTGTGGGGAGATAACTTGCAAACATACAGTATTGCACTGTTAACGATCAGAGATTTATGTCAATTTGGCAAGCTAAACACATTCTGTACTGTGCAGGAGATGTGGCATGGAGGAGATTGACTGACAATGGTCTATAGCAAATCAGGACGCAGAACACAATGTGCTGTAGAAAAAAAAACATGTCAAAACGCATGAAAGAAATCTGCGGAACTGCTAGGCTGCAAAAAATGAACCGCGTAATAGCAAGGGACCACTTTTATTTTTAATTTATAACATTTTATGAGTTATTCATTAAGAAATCAATGAATACTTTCCAAATCGATCTGGTGAGTTTTCATTTCACAAAATATATCACAGTAAAACAAAATATCACATTGTCATAATTTTCCAATATCGTGCAGCCCTAATATAATATAATATAATATATACATATATATATATATATATATAGTCTTATTTTTTTGTTTGGCTGGAATAAGGAAAAATATATGTATGTATATGTTTGTTTTTTTCCAATTGGCTACAAAACAACCCACTGTTGTCTAATGACCTGCCTAATTAACCTCGTATAGCCCTTATATTACACTTTAAGCTGAATACTTGAAGAGTTTAGATGCAAAAACCTCTAAAAGCCATCTGATATTTCTAAAAAACTTTCTAAAATTAGCATTTTTCTCCGGCTTTTGTGTGTAGGCTCAGTCATTTTACTTTTATTCATTCATTTATACATTCATTTTCTTTTCGGTTTAGTCCCTTTATTAATCTGGGGTCGCCACAGCGGAGTGAAACGCCAACTTATACAGCACATGTTTGATGCAGCGGAACAGCAACCTTCTTGCTGTGAGACAACAGTACTACCTACTGCGCCACCGCGTCAACCCATTTTACTTTTATAGTGACGAATAAGTTATTTACATTGCCTTTAGAGTGAAACAACTGAACATAAACATAGGAGGCTGACAAAAATGATCATTTAAGGAGGACATTTCAGATGGCATTTAGAGATTTTTGCATCAGAACTCTTCACTTGTATCTTGCAAAGTAACTAGTAAAATATTATTTATTGTAACTACGAAAAATACAAATGCATATTCAAAATTAGTTATTAAAAATAATTATGTTTAAAAATGTATTGAAAAAATCTTCTTTCTGTTAAACAACACTTGTGAAATACTTTAAAAAAGAATAAAATAATTGTAATATTTATATAGACACATGCACATATACAGTATAATGTAAATGTGTCTTGACTTGACGTGACTCAAAGCCTCAGGAAAGCAAAAGGAGATTCTTACTAAACCCTAAAAGCTAAAAACACATCATCTCAGCAGCTCAAAGTCTTAATTACACCACCCATGCAATCCAAACAATCCTGTGAATCAAAACCACAAGAAATGAGCCACGTCTCTAAGCCTGCATCTCACATCCAGACACGTTGCTTTCTATTTACGGTGACAGCAATCTAAAGTCACTTCCTCTTCAACATCCAAAGCATTTATTAAAAAGCTCCAGGAGGGCATTTCATTAGCACTTAGCCTTAAGCTTGGAGGATAACCTTGGCTTTAATCGAAAACGGACTGCTCATGATGATGTTTTACGAGTCTGGTGTTCTTTTGGGAGACTACTTTGTGTGCTGACACATGCTGAGAGTCAGAAACGGATCTGTGTCTTCAACCCTTGAACTGACGGCTTGAATGAGCATAATATATGTAGGAAGTAAACTTTAAAAAGCAACCGACTCCCAGTAGGGCTCTGTTGCTCTTTATAATGTCTCTTTATCTTTATAAAGCTCAATTCATCACGTCTAACCGGTTGTGCATTAAATCAAGCCTGTCTGATCAACTCATTTCTGGTTTTGTGGTTGGGCTGAGCAGCTGCTTCAATAAAACGTGGGGCCAAAATTCACTGCCAATGAATTCTGCCAAGATTATGTGCCTCGTTTTCATGCTTTTCTCCTTTATTTTGTGTGTGAGTGTGTTTTTGAATTCCCTCACAAGGAGTCTAGACTCACCAGTATTCCTCAGGGGCTCCTCCACGGTCGTAGACGGGGCCCTCCAGCTCACGGGGCCCTGGAAAGATGCTCTCGTGGTGGATAATAATGGTTTTGATGAGCTCGTTCACATGTGCCTGGCAGGAGACCTGATCGTGGCCCTCAGGAACAGACATGAGTGTGGGGCCGAAGCAGATAGCCAGGTTGTAGGGGTCCATCATGTTGTCGTCACTGTACTGAGACAGACTAATAAAAAACGAAAGAAAGAATATTTTAATAACATTTTGTTAACACAATGGATTTGAAATGAAACAAACAAGATGTGCATTAACTGCAGACTCTTAGATTTAACCTCTTAGGGCTTAGTGGCCACATACGTGGACAGCACATTTTAGCTCTTGAGTGATTATTTAAAATGCTTTGAATGTTTTATATTTTGTTACAGACATACAGTGTCATCCTGCAACTGTTTTGCAGCATATGAAATGTCCCAAACACTATTTTAACTGTCCAAAATAGGGGAAAAAAAGTTTTTACTCTGATAGTCAAAACACATTAAAACATTTTTTCTTTCAGGAAAAAGTGTTTTATGTAAATTGGGACTATGAGTCCACATATATGGGCATAATTTTCCTCTAAGAGTACATCATATCAAAAGATGATACTTTTTTTTTATTCTAATTAGGTTTCAATAAGCCCAAATAGCAAAGATAAATAAAAAATGCTTGTAAAAAACACCTTGGGCCTTTGGAGGTTAAAAAAAATGTATGGCAATCAACATTTTTATTAAATACTTTGCACTTGATTAGCAACATAATTTGTAAGCCACCTTTGACTAATTCAATTTTAGTTAATATTATATTACTACTAGTAAGCAGTTTTGGGTGTAATAAGATATAATCAGGGTTCATATTCATTTTTACGACAAAAATTCCATGATTTTTCCATGACTTTTCCAGGACACACAAGTAAATTTTCATGACCTAATGTTTAATCTAATGTCTATGTATACATGGAGAATAATAATAAAAACAATGCACATTTAAAAACATTTTTCATAAAACACACAACAATCTATTTAGTTTGAATACATTTTTTATATCTGTTGTATGTAAGATTCTTTCCCGCTGTGCCACCTCTGAAATTGAGACTAAGCCGAAGGAAAATGAATGAATGTATGCTTACAGTATTCATAATGTGAGACCATGTTTTTGGTTAAGAGCAGAAAAGAAGTGAAGACAACTGACCTATATTCAATTTTACAGATATATATGTTAAATTAATTTCCATGACTTTTCCAAAGCTTTGTGGGTTTTTCTGTTTTTTCTAAAACTTTTTCAGGCCTGGAAAATGCCATGTCAAAATTCAATGACTTTTCCAGGTTCTCCATGACCGTATGAACCCTGTATAATGTAACTAGTTACTGTAAATTTTGGTATAAAAGCAAAAAGTAATTTCAGTATGTAATTTATTTAACTTTACTTATATTTGCCTAAAAAACATTTAATAGCTATGTATAAATCGGTTCAGATAAGTAATTGTATTATTTTGTTATACAGATAGATTGCAAAATATAAGTTTGTCCCCCAAAGACAAGGGCTATAGGTTGAATAAGCTAAATTGGCCGTAGTGTATGTAGTGACTAAGCTGAAAAGAAAACGAATGAATGAATGAATGAATGAATGAATAGATAAATATATATCATTTTGTTTTGAATTGTCTATATGTATTGAGATTTATAGGGCTTTTATGTAGTACCGAGTCATGTAATCAAATTACTTATTATTAGACAATTAGTAATTATAAACGTCATTTAAATACAAATTCAATGATACAATTAGTAATTACCACGGCCAGACAGAATCTGCGGACATTTTTAGATATTTCTGCTCAGAATTTTGTACAAAATCTACAAACTTATCTGGAACGATTTTGGGAGTATCATGAACAAAAACTTATTATTTATAATAAAAATATTACCATTCAAACTTTTAATTAATGTTTACAATGCAAATCCAATTAGATCAACTTATTTGGTAAACAAAGCAAGTCTTTCATATAATTTATTTACTAAAAGACAGAAAATATGACTTTACAAACTGTATTGTAAATAAATCATATGGACATTTTCATATTAGTCAATAATATTACTGAAATTTATGTAAAAACGGAATAAATATGAATTTACACACATTTACACAAGTAATTAAATGTACTTAATGAGGGGCTAAAAATGTGTGGATTCCTGAACGTGCAGATTCTATGTGGGCCTAGTAATTAGTTACCCAAACACTGCTAGCAAAACATTTGCATGTTTACAGTTTTCTGGTGTAGGTTAATGTCCACTAAACCTAAACCTGGGTTACACAATAACTGCATTTAATGATGTTTCCTAATGAAGGTAAATAATTAATGTATATTATGAAAATTAATAATTATTCAGTCAATCAATCAATCAATCAATCAATCAATCAATCAATCAATCAATCAATCAATCAATCAATCAATCAATCAACATATGAATGGACAAACATTTAAGAACTGATCATATTTGAGGTGCACCAAACACCAAAAACATGAAACAAAATAGTCATTCTAATAATTTGCCTATTCTCATGGAAGGAGCAGCTCCTGCTGGACTAATGTGGAAAACAGCCTGAGTCTCTATTTACACGTCCTCACAACAGCTCATTCATCATGGCCACAAGCCATCCTTCTCTCATTTAAGTGTGTCTGTGAGACTCTTCTGAATTCTTACACCTTCTTAATTGTTCCCTTTCTTACTCTGCAAGGCGCCCACAATGTTTATCACTGAAAACTCCAAATAGTGGTCACACGTATCCTTATTTGCATGTGTGTTGGAATAAAAAAACACATAAACTTGCACTTGGAAAGGCTCTAAGGCAAATTTACGAGCAAGGTCCTTCCCAGACAATTACAACTGCATGAAGTTCTTCAATTGCCCACCTCTCTGTCTAATGCCCACCTCATTCTGTAAATGAGGTCTCCTGATGTGTATACATATGTGAATGTACGCCAAGCATACAGTAAATGCAGACAAATTAAAAAGAAGTCTTCAGCTAAATGTGCATGAGCACTCAGATGCCATAGCATGAAAAAATGCATATGCATGGTGGTAAATAGAGCCGAACATTGAAGCACAGCTTCCATTTAACAGAATCATCAAGAAATGCGACCTGAATCTTTGATACTTAAAGTTTACAGCAGTACAGTTCAGTGATGGCAGAACTCATCTCACACTGTAAAAAGACTGGAAATGTGTGCTGGGGTCAGATGAGTCCAAATTTCAGATTTACTGGAGGTCGGCTACATTTACATGACAATGATGCAGCCAGAAACTTTAACATGATGTTTTAAAAACGAGCAGCATTTATACATCTGCAGAAAAATGACACAAGAATGCCGTATTATATATGCCAGGCCAGAATTTGGCGTTGTCGATTTGTTAGTAAACCTATAAGAAAGTGCACACATGCCGTCGGCGGCTCGGCAATGGTGCATATTAAAAGAAATGTTACTGTAAGAAAGATAATCAAACCATTTTGGTAAATAGACTTAATAAATAATCTTTACTTACATTTTTTCATTGAGATTGAATGTTAGTGATTGAACGGGTGTTGGCACGATTAGGTAGCTTTACATTGACAGAAGAAAATAAATACCTGTTAAAAAATTATTTAAGGCCTACAACACAATTTTTCTGTGAATTTAAGACTTTTGAAGGCCTAAAATTTTGTTTTTAAAATTTAAGACAGTTTACCATTTTTAAAGACCCCACAGATACCCTGATATATTTAAAGTTAAGTAATCTACTCTTTGCTGATGAAGTGTTAGGAAACACTTGAGCAACAGCAACCCAACCCCCATTATTGTGCAGTTTTGTTTGCGCTTACCTTTAATCTACACCTCCCTAAACACATACATGCACACACGACATCATCATTTTTATAGACTCTCATTTTCAGGTGTTTACACTGACATGACAATTACAGTACAATCCAAACTTCCCCTTTGTGACCATTTTTCAGATTTGTTTGTTGTCAGTCCCAAAAATGCAGTTGTTTTGTAAACAAACAGGCAAAACCCATAAAAAGAGTCCTGAATACTTTAATAAATAATCAGCAATGACATTCATATTGATCTGAACTGAATAAACATGAACTAATTCAAACAAAACCAAATATCTGTGAAACTGAATGTGACTTACAGTATGAACTGAACTTGATTCACACTTGATTCAACTTTAAACCTGATTTTCCATTATTGCCTATTTTCTTTGTGAAACTACTTTGAAACAAATAGAACTGTATTAAGTGCTATAGAAATTTGACCAAACCAAAGAGACCATCCAGGCTTTCATGAGCGACAGATGCAAAAAGCAAATGTCTGTCATGGTATGGGCCGCACATAAACGTCCAAATGGAGAGGCTCCAGCCAAATTTACGAGCACTGTCCTTTTCTCAGACAGTTCCAACTGCACACGTCTCTCCAATTGCCCACCTCTCTATTTCTCTTAATGTGCATTTGTGAGAGTACACTATACATCCCTACAGACAATGCACACAAATTAGAGAGCGAATTAAAAAAAAGCAGCAGTTCTTTAGAGAACCATTCTGGCACCTCCATTGACTTTTATAGCAGAGGAAAGATCTATCGGCAGTAGTGCAAACAGAGGAGCCATTCACAGAGGCCTACAGACATCACGCATGGGAGCATTATGGAGGTTTATGGCGACACTATACCTCTACGCAAACTCACTTCCCCCTTCTGGCTGTGATACGAGGCCTGGAAAGGGTTCAGATGCTTTCGACAAACCAGAACGTACCACAGCGGCCTGGAGCAGAAGCTAAGATGGTGTTGTGGTCTGGAGGGTCTTTCAAAAGAACCACAGGGTGGAAATAAGGAGGCAGAGATATGGAGGGACACTTTCCAAGTAGGCTTGAGAGCTGCAGTCCTCAGCTGGAGTAGCTGGGTACTGTCCAATCTGCTCTTTTTTTTTAGAAGAGAATATTTAAATCTGTTGTAAAAAGGTCTTGTAAAATGGTAAGTTTAGATTGTATATAAGCTCTTTGTATGCTGGGGTAAGGTTAGCTGCCGTAAATCACTGGAAAATGGCAAGGGTTTAAAGGGGAAAAACATTCACCCAAATGATTCTGTCATCATTTGCTTGGCCTCATGTGGTTCCAAACCACTAACTTTTTTTTTATTTTATTTTTCATTCACTAAAAATGTCATATCTTCAGGGGCACAAACTATTCAGGGGTAGGAAAGGTGAAAATATCAGGTTTAAAATGTGGAATAAATGTGTTAAAAAGCACGGTTAGTTTTAGGAGATTTAGATAAAAAACTAGACATCATTACTATACATTTTATTTTATTTGATTAATAAATAACATATATTCTTATATTAAATTCTAACATTCAGTGCTTTAATATTCTTGTACTGCAAAATAAAAATATATAAGTATGTATTTATTCAAGTTCTAACAAAGCTTATGCAGCGTTTCTGCAGGTTTCTTCAAGTGAAATTTAAACCTATTTAAGACTCTTTCAAGACCAATATGAATGACATAGTCATAGTTAGACGTATACAGTGCTTAACGCTAGGACTTCCCAAAGATTTTTTCTACTAGGCTGGGTACTTCTGTAAATAGTTTTTGTATTTATGAAAGATCATGTAAAGGGATGTAAAGGGACAGTGTTTCTTTTGTATTTTTCCCTGATTAGGTTTTTTAGTTAGGACAATTTGCTAGAAAATGTCTAAAAGCTGTTGTAAATTGTATCTCTTTGCAATAAAAAACTTATATATAAACAAAAAGTTTAAAGATCGATTATTAGTGATTGGGTGTCAGCCCGATATGGTAGCTTTACTTGGACATCAGAAAATAAAGACCTTTTAAAATATTTCAAGCCCTACAGCACTATTTTTCAGTGAATTTTAGATTGTTTAAGGCCTCTAAATTTAGTTTTTGAAATTGAAGACATTTAAGACTTTTTAAGACCCTGCAGAATAAATATTAAATTTTTTAAAGAATAATTATTATTTAATAATAACAACAACAACAAAAACAACAACAACAACAACAATAATAATAATAATAATAATAATTATTATTATTATTTATAATTATTATTATTTAAGACTAACTATTTAAAAAATTTATCAAATCTACATAAACTATTCAAATGGTTTATTTTGGACTCAAAAACTTTATTTTAAGCTAGAATTCGGGATCTTTTGCACATCCCTAATGCCAAACATGTCTCAGTGTCATATCTGAACCAAACGCAAATGCAATTGCGATCAGATTTGGGTGCTACAGGTTACATTTTGAACAAATATTGAATTACATGTGGGCAGCACGGTGGTGCAGTGAGTAGCAACCAAGGAGCCCCGGCTGTGTCAGTTGGCATTCCTGTGTGGAGTTTGCATGTTTTCCCCACAAGTCCAAAGACATGTGGTATAGGTGATTTGTCCGTAGAGTATGTGTGTGAATGAGTGTGTATGGGTATTTCCCAGTGATGGGTTACAGCTGCGTAAAACATATGCTAGATAAGTTTGTGGTTCATTCCGAAAATGAAAGAATGAATGAATGAATGAATTATATGTTAAACAAACTACTCAATAATATAGAATATAGAACAAGTCAAACGCACCACATGTACTTAAATTAATATTATTAAGCTTAATTCAGCCCAATTAATTTTCATTTTATGGAAAAGGGCACCTGACACATTCTGTGAAACATCTACTTTTGTGTTCCTCTGACACAAGAACCTTGCTTTGACTGACATCCGGTGGACCAAATGACTTCACAGCCCTCAACTTTAGTTAAAATCCCAGACAAAGGAACAAACTTGGTAAAAATCTAACCAACAGAACTCACTGATTGAGAAAAGCAAACAGGTATCTCATGATAACCAGGATGTTGCTGGGCAGCGACAGCAGGACTTTTCGGATGTGCACAGCTCTTTCCTGGAGGCTCTCAATGGCTGGAAAAAAACAACAAGTAATGAGTTCAAAAGCTCCTCCATTGTCTAATCTAGTCTGCAATACACACGTGTACTGTGGGTGTAGGAAATAAAGCGAACACTCACAGACACAGGACATGAGGTCATGGAAGACTTCCTTAGGAAACAGGGCGTTTTCCAGGCCTCTGAAGTAGAGCTTCAGCACTCCAGCGATGGAGTCCATATCGTGATCATTCTGATCTCCAGCCAGCGGATCCTCACCTGAGACACAGCAAGCCTTTAATAATGCAGGCCTGATGTGAAATGGTCAAACGCTGGCTCAGCGTGTGTCGCTTCAGACAGACTCACCTCTTTCAAAGGCGTTTTTAATGTCATTGACCTCCACCTGGGAGCCAGACACCCTGAAAATCCCCTCATGATGAAGACCTGAACAGGCACACAGATGTGATGTTATGAACATACATCAGACTTATAGTTTAGAGTTTATTACAGCAGATTGTGATGTCAATACCAGCTTAATAAATATAGTTTAACCCCAATATTAGTTTCTTTGGGTTAAATAGATTTATATGGATTTCTGTACAATCAAAACAACTATTTTTGTTTGATTGTATAAAAGTACAAATTTCAAATAAAATATTAACATTTTAAATTGTTTAGTCAGAAAATAGTCTCAATTACAAATGTTTTAAACCCCTAATCAGGTGAAGAACTGTTTATGGTAACTGTATTGACATTGATTGTATTTTTTTGCATCATAAAGTCTTGTAATAACCCCCACTACCACTACAATGATTTTTTCCAACTGATTCAATGACTGCTCTAAAGGGTTAATAAAAATTAGTATTATGCTGTCCCCTTTTCACTATTTTATGCCCCCCAAAAATAAAAATAAAATAATTAATGCTGTTAATAACAACATTTTAATTTAAAATGCTAAGAAATGTCATCCATAGTTTACAGAATTAAAAAAAAAATCATTCTGGTTTACTCTGATACAAAACTATAAATCAGGAATCCTGAAAAGCAGCGTCTTCTTCTTTTTTTCAAGAGCTGTATATTCTGAGAACATTTAAAAAAAAACATCCATCAATCTTTAATCTTCACTTATTCTTAACATTTTTTTACAAATATTTTTATAATAATAATAAATCATAAATTAATTCATATATTAACAATATAAAAAAATAGTTCCCTAGAATCCTCAAAATGTGAGAGAATGGATGAATCCATATATAAATATTTGACAAATATTAATGACTTTATGATTTGTCCTGTCATTTATTAATTTTCCTTCAACTTACTGCCTTTATTCATCAGGGGTCACCACAGGGAAATGAACCACCAACTTATCCAGCATATGTTTAACACAGCGGATGTCTTTCCAGCTGCAACCCAGTACTGGGAAAAATACACTCTCGCATTCACATGCATACAGCAATTTAGCTCATTCAATTCACTCATACCACATGTCTTTGGTCTGTGAGGGACCCGAAACAAACCCACACAAAAGGGGAGAACATGCGAACTCCACAAAGAAATGCTAACTGGTCCAGCTGGGATTGAACCAGCGACCTTCTTGCTGTGAGACGACAGTGCTAACCACTGAACCACCATGCTGGCCCCTGTCATTCACGATTACTCAATGAGAACATTCTGAAAAAGCACATTTTAAAAATAAGCATTACATAAAATTAGTCATTTAGTTTTTATCAAGTAATAAATTAATAAAGTATTTGAATTAAAGCACATTCATTTGACATTAGTACATTTTCCATTATCTTTACCGAGCCCAAAAATGACTTTGTGTCAGCAACCATTATTTGTTTTTAGGTGGAATTTTCAGAATTCAAAAGGAAAAAGAAAACATATTGGCTAGTGCTGAAGGACTGTAAGAGCTATATACTGTATGATAGAAAAATAAATGAAGCGGAACAGAACACTTTGTTCATTTCATCAGGGAAAGTCTAGAGAGCGACACAGCAATAGTGCTTTTGGCAAGAAGTGAGTGAGAGAAGGAGAGCTCACCGTGTCGACTGATGAAGCGAATACAACTCTCCACCATCAGGGGAATGATTTGGATGGCTTCCTAAAAGAAGGAACAGTGAAAAAAAATAAGAAGAAAATACACATGTCTGTTCAGATGGTGGACATTCTGCAGCACAGGGCACCTTTCAGAACAAGGGGATCATAATAATTATATTTGCATCGGGTGGGATGAAAAAATAAGCACACCAGTTTGTGCTGTGCCATGAGGGAATGGGGCAACGGTTGCTAGGAGACAACGTTTCACCAGACTTTCTTTTTGTTTATTTGGGAAAAGTGGAGCTGTATGCGGGCCACGTCTGGCCTGAACTTCACTGCCCGGAGGTCACACTCTTAAACATGCTTACATGAGTACAAAACATTTTTACTTTCAGTAAATCTCATGCTTCTCCATTCATTTGACTTTTGAATATTGCTCATGCTGTGCCCTCTAAAAATATTGGACAACTGAAAAAAAAGTTACACATTTAACATTTAAACTTTGATCTTTTAGCTTAAAATATCAATAAAAATATCTACGTTCATTAAGAACAGGCAAGCGAGAATAACGATAGTTTAGTCAAAAATAATAGGTTTGGCATAATTTGTTTCACACACATATATATATATATATATATATATATATATATATATATATATATATATATATATATATATATATATATATTTTTTTTTTTTTTTTTTTTTTTTTTTTTTTTTTAAGAATCTACTCATCTACTCTTGTCCAAAATCGAATTCTTCGGTTTGTGTTTAAAAAAAATTTATGGCAGAAAATCAAGTGTTTTTTTGTTTTCCACTGGCTTTTTGGCTCATATTTATCAAGCAAGTTTTCCACTGGCTTTTTGGCTCATATTTATCAAGCTTGTCATCATTTGTGGAAAGCATTGTATATGAATATCGCTCACTAGAGGGCGTCATGAACACTAAAAGGACAAATGAAGGGTTGCAGTGGTTTCTTTTGTTTGTTCACCTGTACTGTAGGGTTCAGGTGGTGGGATAAATGCATGCTAAATTTATCTCACTGGCCTGATTTTAAATCCTAAATTTATCCTGCTGCGACATGCACAGTTAATTTACAGCTGCATTTATTAAATAAGACATGCACTGAACAGGAATTTTTGTCTTAATGAAAAATATTATCTGCAAATATAATTCATAAAAGGATTAATAAGATTTGTTGACTAATAATAATTATCTGAGTTGAAAAAAAGGGATACTAGCATGTTCTCTGTACATATCAAAATCTATCATATCATATAAAAATCTAATAAAAATACATAAAGCAAATAATAAAAAACTTATTAAAGTAAAAATCTGACAAATAAAATTTTAACTAAATTGAAAATATAAATACAATCAAATACAATTATTTAAAAAATAATCCATAATCCTATAAAAAGCTAAACTGTTACAAAAGTTTAGTCAGATTTTTAAAAACATCTTTAAAGTTATCAAAGGGTTTTTTGGTACCATATATATATATATATATATATATATATATATATATATATATATATATACATATATATATATATATATATATATATATATATATATATATATATATATATATACATGACACAAATCAATAATTAATTCAAAAAAAAAAGAGAGAAAAAAATTAATTTAAACTGAAAAAGTCTTGCAATGCAACAGTAAATCAATTCTGCTAGCGAGCAGTGATAATTACCTGTTTCCGCACAGTGGAGTCCCTCCGTCCGCTGATGGACATGAGAATCAGAAAAAGAGAGGGAGAGCGAAAAGGGGGGAGAGAAAGTGCCGTCATTATAATGGATCATTTTCCCTCAAAACTGCTCTCATTTTCCTCCACATTCACTTCACAAACTGCCTGTGGCCATTAGCCCAGTGGAAATTAGCCTCCTGAAAAGGTTCCTATTTTAATCCACTGGCCTTAAACACACACACACACACACACACACACACACACACACACACACACACACACACACACACACACACACACACACACACACACACACACACACACACACACACACACACACATTCAGGCTTTCACTAGTATTTGTTGTGAAAGCACTTGTTTTGTGTCTCTTCTGTGAACTCTTGTTTAAAAGTCCGTCCCAATTTCCGGACCTCATTGTAAATGGAAAGTAAATCACCTTTTCCCGGCCTCGATTAATAAATCAGCAGATGTGAATAAAAGATGAATATGTCTAGACAAGATATTCATCTATAAATGGCTCCCAAACATCTGCATGTGTGCAAAATTAGTTCTTGTGCGTAAACCGTATACATCTTGTTTGGATTTGTTGAGTTTCCCAACACTGCACTCACCTGGCAAGGCAGTAGTCCGTCTTCTGACCTGGAAAAAAAAATAAAGAGAGGAAAACAATTAGAGGGAAGCTGGATGTGCGAGGAAGAGGCCACAGCTGGATGTGGTTTCCTTTGGGAATAAAAGCCTCATCCCGCATGTTGTCTTTGCTGTCACGGAGGACTTTCCTGTGGGACGCGACCCTGTATCCGCATGTTCCCCTCTAAACACATTCAGTGACATCACAGCGTGTCGTTTTTTCCCATCACACACGGCTCCACTTAGAAAAATGCCAAACGTGCAACAGACTTCAGTGAGCTAATCATCCTAACCACTTTCCTTCCCTCAGTTTGTGCTGGAACATTCTGTCATTTTACTCCATGACAGCAGTTACACACTGTACTGTTCCTGCAGCATTTCACAGCGCAGAATCTGTTTTTGACATTGGATAACTGGAGTGATTCTAATTCAATCAATGATTATGCCATTCAATCAAAATCTAAATACGCTACCTGACAAAAGTCTTGCTGCCTATTCAAGTTTTAGGAACAACAAATAATAAGTTGACTTCTAGTAGATCATTTGGTATCAGAAGTCGCTTATATGAGGCAAAGGCCTCTAGATTACGCTTATTTTACCAATATAAAATATGATCATGCCTTGATTTTGAATTATTTACTTTATTAGTTATTTATTTAATAATTTAATTTAAATAATTTATTTAATTATTCTGAATTATTGACTTTGCTTAGTCAAAAGTATTGTCACTTAACAGAAATAAGGTACAGTATAGCATATAAAGTCATGGTGCAGTGGAAAAATAACTAATATTGTGTGTGACTCCCATGAGCTTAGATGACTACATCCATACATCTTTACAATTACTCAGATAACTTACTAGTAAAGTCATCTGGAATGGCAAAGAAAGCAGTCTTGCAGGACTCCTATGATT